GGGTCACGTGCGCGCGCGCGCGGGGTCGCTGTGGGGGGGGCCGGGGCCGTCACAGGGTCACGTGGGCGGGAGGTGGGGGGCCTGGCCCTCCCGCGGCACCTCAAGTGGGCTTCTCGCCGGCGACCCCCCTGTAGGGGGTAGGGCCTCACCGGGGGTCACAGAGAGCGGCCCCTGGATGTGCAGGGGTTCCTGGAGCTCGGACACTCAGTTTGGGACCACCCCCATTAGGACACGTGGGGGCATGCTTTGCTCTCCACGTTAGGGGAAAGGGTTATGTTTGACCCCAGCCCAATCCCATTTCTGTCGCTTCCCTAGGAAGAAGGGACTTTGGGGGTCGGGAGGGGGAGTCCTCCTCTCAAGTCCGGAAAGTGGGTAGGGGACCTTTTTGCGGCCGGGGTGGCAGAGCACTTGGGCGAAATGGGGAAGATGGGCATAGGGACTGGCTCTTGGATGCTTTGGGTGGCTTCACCCGTGGTCTCTGTCTTTCTGGAAAAGAGGGGAGGGTCCCACCATCCTGTTTTGAGTCGTGATGACAACAAGGAGGTGTCAGATGCTGGGGTGTCTGACCTCCCCGGCTCCATTCGCTACCTCCCCACGGCCTGGAGGGGTGGGGGCCCATAGAATGGGAGGACTTTGCCGCCCTTTCAGGAAGCAGACCCGCTGAGGCCGATTGAGTGCTCTCGGGGGCTGTCCCAATGCCTCCGGGCTGGGACTGGCTCCTCCCAAGGTGGGAGGTTCCGTTAGGTGAATGCCTGTGTTCCCACCCTGTGTGGTCGGCCTCTGGCTTCCTCACCTTTGGCGCTGGGTGGGTCCTAACGTGCATTTGATCTGGTTGTCCACCGAACTGTCTTGATTCTGGGGCAGCTTTAACTGTGGGAGTTGGAGCTGTCATTTGGGGTGGGATAAGCCCTATCTGGGCACCCCAACAGCTTTGGCTCAAGGTGAGCGTTAAAAAAATTGAGAAAGGTAGAAAGATAGATCCTGAGCTCAGGTTTGGGTTTCTAAACCACAGACAGACTCTAGTCTTAAGTTTGCTGAATTGAGGTTTATTTGAAGTTGCTCTTTATGTGTCTAAAATGTAGCATGTGTTCCAAAGGGGTCTTTTGTTTTGGTCAAAAGAGGATTTCTGATGCCTTGACACAACCACTTGCCTCCAATGTATTCAGTAAATTTATGCAAAGATTTTGCGAGTGGAGGGGATGAAGGAAAGTTGAACTCTGCAGCATCCCAGAAGAACCCGGGTGCAATCGCACTGTCTGGTTCTCTGCGCTGGGGCCACCAGGAGGAGGAAGTGTCTGAAAGCTCTTGCTCCTGGAGATGACCTGAGGACCCTCCCTGATACCCAAGCACCTATTCCTTTCACCCTTAGAACCAAGTCAATGGACTACAGCCAGGCCACAAACAATCTAGACACAAATCTCGGCGAAAGGGAAAAGGGGAATTTTGATATTCCTGGATAATTTGTGAGAGCATCGAGGCCTTAGGGAAGCACTGCTTGTAGGATGCCTTAACCAACAGGCTCTTCCCCACATCGTGGGGGGACCAGCTCCCAGGCCTCAGAGCGAGACCCAATGGGTTTTCATAACCCAGAGATGTGCTGAGAAGTTGACCTGAACACCATGGAGGGTGGTTTTGGTGATAATTCTTACTACTTTATTTCTAGATCGCAGCCAAAATTGGAGGCGATGCTGCTACAACAGTGAATAACAGCACTCCGGATTTTGGTTTTGGGGGCCAAAAGAGACAATTGGAAGATGGAGGTAACTCACTCCCTCTGCTGCTTTTAGCTTGGGGAAGGAGGGCTGGGGGCAGAAAGAGGAGCTTTTGTTTGAGTGTGGTTCAGAGTTTGAGGGGAGGGTCGGGGAGGACCGCTGCCGTTTGGTCTTTTAAAACCTCAGCAATCCCAGCTTTGTTCATTCTTTTTGTTCAGTCTGCCATCCTGAGGTATCAGGTGGCGGAGAGGAGGGCAGATTGCTTGTGACTAGGTCGAAGTTGTAAGTTCCCAAGATGATTCCTCCCCCTCTGGGAGGCAGAGGAAAAGTGGGGTGGGTTATTGAGGCCTGATGTGAAGTTTTGGCGGCCCTGGGGCATGCAGCATCGCCAAAGCAGCCAGAGAGCAACTCAAGATCAACTCCCTAGGTCTGTCCAGGACCCTGTGTGCCCCGAGGCAGGTCCAACCCTAAATCGGAAGGACCCAGGTGTCACCGTCATTGTTCACTTGATATAAAAGGCTTTTTTACTCTTAATGTTGGGAGATGAGTGAAGTCTGGGTCCACTTTGGAGTTCTCTTCTGGGCTCTTCTCTCCACTCTTGTGTTGGAGGTAGGGGAAGAGGGGAGTTGTTTGCCCAGGACATGTGGCACCAGCATCGGGTTTGAGGCAGCATGGGTGGGTGGGTGCTGCATCTGACATCCTCTCTTTGACAGATCAACCGGAGAGCAAGAAACTGGCCTCCCAGGGAGACTGTAAGTCCATCGGGTGATGCAGCCAGAGGGTCGCTTCGGGTCTTCAGAGGTTTTTAGGAGTTGGGGGCTAGAAGCACTGAGTAGACAGCAGCTATTCTTTATGGGGGCTCCTGGTGTTGATAGTCTGGGGCCCACGAGTTTTAGGGATCCCAGGACCCCCTAGAATTGAAGCAGAACTACTCTGTATGTGCTTTCGTGGGCGGGGCTTCACCACGCCCAGCAGGCACTTAAGCAGGCACGGGACCACTGACAAGCGCCAGTTGCCCCTGGGGCGGGCAGGGTTGGGTGCCCAGAGAGGAGCTAAGCCAGTCTTTCTTTTGGGTTTTTTTCTCTGCAGCGATCAGTTCTCAGCTTGGACCCATCCATCCTCCCCCAAGGTAAGTCGTAGTTTGGGGCACACATTGGTTTCTCGTCTGTTGGCCATCTCTGGCCTTTCTGAGTGGCTTGAGGGGTACGGTTCTGCCCAAGGCTATACCGGTCCAGGGCTTTATCTCCCATCCCTGGTTGACCAGGGAGTACACAGACAGGGTGGGAAGGCAGGGGAGCTGTGTCTGTTCCTCATGCCTCCTGTCTGCGGTGCTGTGGGAAGGAGAGGCGGTGGCAGTCCACTGTGTGGACGGAAGAGCGGTCTCTGCACCCTGGTGCTTCCTCCACTGGGCTGGGACTCCCAGAAGCACCGATGTCTGTCCTCCCAGAAGAGGCTGGGAAGGACCTTGTTTTTCTCCCACCTCTTAACGCACATGCTTGTCCGCTGGGCATCGGCAGAGTGTAGGGGGCTTTGCCACCTTTTTGCCGCCCCAGGTGGAGTTAGATAAATCTGACATAGGTCGTGTGTGAATTGTCATGGTTTTTCTTTTTTCTTTTTTGTTTTTAATGGGCGATAGTTTTGTAAAATACAGTAAAAACAATTTACTAGGGAAAGAAAACAAAAAGGATACACAGCTAACTATTTTTATTATTACAAGAGTCAACAGACAGAAAATGACTCTGTCAGCTTGCTGGAAACGTGTCTGAGTCCTTGCTGTTGTCCTGAGTCAGTGGGACAGCGCCGGGCCATGGGTCACACTGCCCGGCCCAAGCCTCTCACGGCACAGATGGGGAAACTGAGGCCTTGAAGTTTTGTGATGTGTGTGTGGTCAGACTGCTTAGGCCTGTGGGGTCCTGGTCCCTGCGTTGTAGGAAGCAAGATCTGCAGCCAGAAGTGTCAAGGGCCGATGGGGACAGGGCCCTGGCTTCAGGAGACCTTCTAGGTCATCAGTCCTCCTCCTTTCCCACTTGAGACTGACTATCGTTGTCTCTCCTTGTAGGACTTCAATGACAGAAGAGTACAGGGTCCCAGACGGCATGGTGGGCCTAAGTGAGTTGTGGGTCACCTTGGTCGGGGAGGCCCAATACCGCCCCCTTTGCCTCTCAGGGACAGTGTCTCTGAGCCCCTGCCAGCCCAGAAGCCCTGGTCTGAGAGGGGCTCCTGTATCCTGCTCTCATTTGTCCTTCTGTCACCCTGTCTGGGCAGGTGGCACAAGGGAGCTTGGGATGGCTGCTGCCCAACTTAGTATCTGAGGGGCTGGGGACCCTGCACACAGGGGTCTCAGTTCCAGGCTCCCTCGGTCAACCTCTGTTTTCTTCCTTTTTTTCTTTCTGCTCTACCTAGTCATTGGCAGAGGAGGTGAACAAATCAACAAAATCCAGCAGGATTCGGGCTGCAAAGTACAGATTTCTCCAGGTACGAGAGGACCAGGTTCCCACCAGAACGGGGGCTGGGGTTGGGTCAGGCTCTTTGCACTTTTCTTTAGTCCCTTAATTTCTTGTTTAATTACTTATCTTCTGCTGGGTCTGTATAGGTGTGACACAAGCAGGCGTTTGTAGGTGCCTGCTACGCCGGGCTCACTCGGCTAGTACAGCCCTATGACGGGTAGCTGTGACTTTTTTTTTTCCCCCTTTACTTTTTACAGTTGGTGGGGACGGACTGAGGCGGGAGGTCTAGAATTGAGCACAGGGTGCCTCATTGCAGTAGGTTGCCACCTGAGATAGCCCGTGGGCGGGAATACACGAAGCAGGGATGGTGGGCTAGCTTGAGGTCAGGCCTGGGTTCCAGTCCCAGTTCTGGCCGCACATCTGATCTCGGACCAGTTACTGACCTCCTTGAATCTCGGATTCCTGAGCTGCAACACGCCGGCTCAGCAGGCGTTTCTGGAGACTTGGTCTCACGTCTGTGAGATGCGTTGTCTGTAGAAGAGGCTCGTGTGATGCCCAGTGCTGGTGGAGGCGGCCTGTGTCTTCAGCCTTCTGGAATCCGCCTCTCCCTCCACCTGATCTTTTTCCCTAAAAGTTCCTCCCGTACTGACTTTAAGCTTCCTGACCTTGGCCTTGCTTCACACAGCCTCCCCGGTGTTCGGGGGCAGTACATGGATTCGTCAGGCTGCCGAATGGCAACACAAGTGGCCGTGGGTTATTCTGAAGTGTCCTCGTCTCCAGGCCTTTCTGTTCCCGCAGGCCACAGAGGGCACTAACCCTATCTCCTCTTCCCTCCAGACAGTGGTGGCCTCCCCGAGCGCAGTGTGTCCTTGACAGGAGCCCCAGAATCTGTGCAGTAAGTCCTGGGCTGGACCCTCGGTGTGACGGGGGGAGCAGGTGGAAGCCCTCCTAATGCCCCTGAAAGGCGGGGGTGACTCCATGCCACATCCTCCCCTCCTGCCCCTTCCAGAGAGTTGTAGGAACAGGTTGATTCCCCAGAGTCCTGAGATCTGGGAGACCAGCCAGCCAGGCCCCAGTGCCTGGCCCCTCGTCATCCCTCAGATATGCACGTTGGGGTCACCTTCCTTTTGAGCCGGGTGGGCCCCTGGGCCGGTGCTCTGTCTCAGATGGAAGCACCCATTCTTCCCCTTCCCAGGAAAGCAAAAATGATGCTGGATGACATTGTGTCTCGGGGCCGTGGGGGCCCCCCAGGACAGTTCCACGACAACGCCAACGGGGGCCAGAATGGGACGGTGCAGGAGATCATGATCCCCGCGGGAAAGGCCGGCCTGGTCATCGGCAAGGGCGGGGAGACCATCAAGCAGCTGCAGGTGAAGGGGGTCCCGGGCAGCAGGCCCGGTCCTGGCACTTTTCCTCCCTGTGTCTGCAGCCCCCCACCCCCGCCGGCTCCTGTGCCAGCAGCTTTTATCCTTTTGCATGATGCCTGCACCAGCCCCAGAAGGTTCTGTGAAAGCCCAGCACTAACCGTTAACATTGCTTGTAAAGGAACGAGCTGGAGTGAAGATGATTCTAATTCAGGATGGTTCCCAGAACACGAATGTGGACAAGCCTCTCCGGATCATCGGGGACCCTTACAAAGTGCAGGTGACTGTGCTTGGGGGTGTGGGGGATTCTGGAGGGGGGCTGGCGGTGGGTGGGGGCACCCACAGGCTGTGCGAACAGGTAAACATGGAGTTTTCGAGATTACTGGCTTTGAAGTCAGCTCTGACTCTCTGTTTTCTCATCTGGAAAACGGGGCTGTTGTCGATGCCTGCCCATTAGGGTGGCAAAGAGCTCAGCAGGGTGCTGAGTTGGGCGCAGCAAAGATGTGCGGGCTTTCACTAAGGCCTGTGTCCCCTGCGGGGCACTGAGGGGCGGCAGGGCTTGCCCACAGCGACTGTGCCCCGTGTGTTTGCAGCAAGCCTGCGAGATGGTAATGGACATCCTCCGGGAACGCGACCAAGGCGGCTTTGGGGACCGGAATGAGTACGGCTCTCGGATTGGTGGAGGCATCGATGTGAGTGGGGCCCCCATGGGGATGGCTCCTTGTGGCCCACAGGCAGCAGAGCTGCAAGACAGACCCGGCTGACTTTGTCCCCCCGCAGGTGCCGGTGCCCAGGCATTCCGTGGGGGTGGTCATCGGCCGGAGCGGAGAGATGATCAAGAAGATCCAGAACGACGCCGGCGTGCGGATCCAGTTTAAGCAGGGTCGGGGCTTGGACGGCGGGTGGGGCGGGTGGGGCAGCCAGTCTTACCCCTGCCACCAGCAGCCTGCCCCGGGAGGCAAGCTCTGAGCAGCTTGGCACTAGGGTCAGCCCATTGGCCTCATTGGGGCACCTCCTTCCTCCCAGTCCAGCCATTGGGCACGCCTGTCCTTCCCTGTGTGGGACAGCTGCCGACGCGTGGTCTTTCCAAGCCCAGATGGACTGTGTGTTTGTTCCCGTCCAATCCCCCACCAAACAGCCCAGCCTGACAGGGCAGCCCAGTGAGCAGTGAGCTGGGTCGGGTCACTGTCCCTCAGCTCTGGGCTCTGCTTGGCAGGTCTGAGCAGCCTGCAGCGAGGAGCAGGCCCTCTGCTGCTCTTCAAGGGTGGATTGTTCTGGGGAACTCACGGGTTAGTTCTGGGGTGACACATGCTGGACAAAGCCTCAGCCGCCACCCTACCTTGGCTGTTCGGTTTCCTTCTGGGGACGTGGGCCTGGCCCTGCCCCAATCGTGCGTGAGTGGAGTCAGGGAGAGTGGGCCGAGTGTAGATGCCACGTCACATGCTCTGGCTCCACACGGAGTCTGCCCTGAACAGGCGATACTGCGGGGGGTTGGAGGTTGGCTTTTCTTTTAAATCAGTCTCTTTACTCTCTTGGTGGCGGCCCCAGATGACGGGACAGGTCCTGACAAGATAGCCCACATAATGGGGCCCCCGGACAGGTGCGAGCACGCGGCCCGGATCATCAACGACCTCCTCCAGAGTCTCCGGGTAAGGTCTGGGGGTGCTGGGAGCAGCAGGGGGTGCTGGGAGGAAGCCAGCCCAGTCTGCCAGCCCAGTCTGCCAGGGGCGCTACAGGGCCAGCTGCCATCCTGTATTCACCCTCCACCCTCCACTTTGCTGTCTTGCAGAGTGGTCCCCCAGGCCCTCCCGGGGGTCCTGGCATGCCCCCAGGGGGCCGGGGCCGAGGAAGAGGCCAAGGCAACTGGGGGCCCCCTGGCGGGGAGATGACCTTCTCCATCCCCACTCACAAGTGCGGGCTGGTCATTGGCCGAGGTGAGCATGGTCCCTCTGCCCTGTCCGCTGCACCCTGCTGCCACCCGACACCCCCAGCCCTCCCTTCACAGTCTGGCTCCACAGGTGGAGAGAACGTGAAAGCCATAAACCAGCAGACAGGCGCCTTCGTAGAGATCTCCCGGCAGCTGCCGCCCAACGGGGACCCCAACTTCAAATTATTCATCATCCGGGGCTCACCCCAGCAGATCGACCACGCCAAGCAGCTCATCGAGGAGAAGATCGAGGTGGGCTTCGAGGGGGCTTCAGGTGCTTGGGCTACATGCCCCTCGCCCTCCCTGCTCACTCTGTCTGCTGCTCCTCCCTCCAGGGTCCTCTCTGCCCAGTGGGACCAGGCCCAGGGGGCCCAGGCCCTGCCGGCCCGATGGGGCCCTTCAACCCGGGGCCCTTCAACCAGGGGCCACCAGGGGCCCCCCCTCAGTGAGTATTGCTCTCAGCTCCCCGGGCTTTGGGGCATGGGGGTTGCCGTGCAGGCCACAGGGGCGATAGGCCCCATTTCCAGTGACCCCCAAGAGAAGCCAGCTCCCCCACCAAAGGCCTGCTCGTTGGGGCCAGGTCCAGCGTGTTTTCATAGATTACCTTTGGAGAAGGTGCTGCTCACTTTCCACCTGTAAAGCCCACGCTCCTTCGGAGACGTTCTGTCTGTGCATAGTGAATTTTGGGGGCTCGTGTTTCCTGTCCTTGAGCCAACACCGTCTGTGTCCTTTGCATTACTGCCTGTGGCGTGCCCTCCCCAGGCGCCCCGGCCTCTGGCCTGCACCCAGCCCAGCACCATGGCTCACAAATCCCCTCTTCCCTCTCGTTGTGCAGCGCCGGGGGGCCCCCTCCTCACCAGTACCCACCCCAGGGCTGGGGCAACACCTACCCCCAGTGGCAACCGCCTGCGCCTCATGACCCAAGTAAGTGGCGTTCCCCCGGGCGAGGGCAAGACCTGGTCCCCACGCCCACCCCCTCAGCCCAGACTCACCTTCCTCCTACAGGCAAAGCGGCTGCTGCGGCCGCAGACCCCAACGCCGCCTGGGCCGCCTACTACTCACACTACTACCAGCAGCCCCCGGGCCCCGTGCCGGGCCCTGCGCCGGCCCCCGCGGCCCCGCCGACCCAGGGTGAGCCCCCTCAGCCCCCACCCACTGGCCAGTCGGACTATACGAAGGCGTGGGAGGAGTATTACAAAAAGATTGGTGAGTCTGTGGAGCGGCTGGAGGGGGGGGTTCAATCCTACCTGAGAGGGTGCCCTCTGACCCTTCCTGGTGCCCCCACAGGCCAGCAGCCCCAGCAGCCCGGAGCGCCCCCGCAGCAGGACTACACGAAGGCCTGGGAGGAGTACTACAAGAAGCAGGGTGAGCAGCCGCCCGCTGTGTGGAGCTGGCGGGGGGGCAGGCGGCCCTCGCCCGTCGCCTCTCATACGCCCCTGTCCGCCCACAGCACAAGTGGCCACTGGCGGGGGTCCCGGAGCACCCCCGGGCTCCCAGCCAGACTACAGCGCGGCCTGGGCTGAGTACTACAGACAGCAGGCCGCCTACTACGGACAGACTCCAGGTCCCGGCGGCCCCCAGCCACCTCCCACACAGCAGGGACAGCAGCAGGCAAGTGGGAATTGCCACCCTCCTCCTCCTCCTTTTTCCTTCCAACCCCCGGCCACCGTCCATCCTGCCTTAGTGGGTAGCGCCGGAAATCCCTTCCCCTGCGGGGTGTGCCCTTGATGCCTGCAGCGGGGGCCGTGTGGCCAGAGGTCTCCGGGAGTCCCCACACGCCGCCGGGGAGCGTACGCTGGGTCCAGAGGTTAAATGAAGAGGCCTCCCTCCGCCAGCTGCTTGTTCCTGTGTCCCGCTGTCGTGATGCTGGGGGAGAGCGCGAGACAGACTGGCGGAACTTTGGAACTGCTGGGTAGTCCTGGGGTGGGGCGGGCGGGCGCTCCGCGGCGTCCCGTCGGCTGCCGATCACCCGCAATCTGGCCACTTGGGAAGAAAACGTCTATTTTTTTCCCTTCTCTGCATCACTTTTTTGGTTTTTGTTCTTTTTATTCTTTTATTTTTTAAACCCAAGATCTCTTTTCCCGTGTGTCCAAGTGACTGTGTTGCAGGCGGCCTGGCTCCGGCAGGGACGAGGGGCTGGCCAGGGCCCCCGCCCCGCCGCCGCCGGGCTCGGCCTCCGCGCTCGCGCTCGCCTCGTGTCCCGGTCTTGTCTGTGAAGTGGGCATGAAGATCGTTGCCACCTTCCAACCTACCTCACAGGGGTGTTGTGGGGACACCGTGATCTCTGACGTTGTTCATGTTGTGACGCGCCGGGAGCCGCCTGCCTTCCTGAGGACAGAGGGCACCCCTCCCCTCCAGCCCTGAGTGCGCTTCTCTCTCCCCGCCTCTGCCCTCTGCGGCCCCTGCTTCTCTCCTCCTGCTGTCCTGTCCTTCCTCCTCCATCAGGGAGCAGCGTGTGACTTCAGCCGAGGCCCCGAGCTCTTGACTAGACAGTTAACAGACAGCGTCCTTCCAGCCTGAGCCAGCCGCAGTTTGGGAGGGGGCTTCCTGGCCCCTGCGCTGGGGGGGTTCCAGCCCCTCCTCTTCCACCGCCCCCTAGTGTCCCGCCCTGCCCTCCCGGAGTGACCGATTCCTATCTCTCCCTCTCCGCAGGCTCAATGAATCGAATGAATGTGAACTTCCTCATCTGTGAAAAATCTTTATTTTTTTTCCATTTTGTTCTGTTTGGGGGCTTTTTTTTTTTTTTGGTTTGTTTGGCGAGAGAGCGATGGCTGCCGTGGGGGGTACCAGGGGAGCCCTCCAGCGAGCGGCTCTGGGGCGCGGCGGGGCGTGCCGGGCCCTCGCTCTCTCGCACATTCTGTGTGTGTCTCACATGCTTTTTCTTTCAAAATTGGTATCCTTCACGTTGAGCCAGCCATAAAAGATAGTGAGAACTAAATCTCTGCCAAAAAAAAAAATTTTTAAAGTTAAAAAACACAAAGCAAAACAAAACTTATAAAATTATATATATATATATTAAAAAAAATCTATACCCCCCACCCCCAGCCTTCCTCACACTGCCTCTCTGAGGATAAAGCAATTCATTTTCTCCCCACCACCCTTGGCCCTCTTCTTGTTTTTAAAATAAACTTTTAAAAAGGAAAAAAAAGTCAACTCTTGCTATTTCTTTTTCTTAGTTAGCGTTGGAACATTCCTTGGACCAGGTGTTGGTATTGCAGGACCCCCCAGCAGCCGAGCCCCCCTCTCTCCTCCTCCTCCTCCTTCTCTTCCTCCTCCTCCCCCCTGGCTCAGCTCCCCGCGGCCCCGCCCGTCCCCCCTCCCAGGACTGGTCTGGTCTGTTGTCTTTTCATCTGTTCAAGAGGAGATTGAAACTGAAAACAAAATGAGAACAAAACAAACAAAAAAAATTGTACGGCAGTTTTTACTTTTTATCGCTCGTTTTTAACTTCACAAATAAATGATAACAAAACCTCCCCGTGTCTACCGGATGCTGTCTGTCTGTCTCTCTCTTTCCCCACTAACTTTCTCCTTAGTTCCCCATAGTTTTGACGCAGATGTTTGTTCTTTATAGATGTTGGGGGGAAAAAAGCCTGATAATGGTCATTGGAGATTATGAGCTTTGTGGGGATTTTTGTAAGAAAACAAATATAAAATAGTTTTCTGCAGGTGCATTGTGCTTTCTTAACTCTCACTCTCTCCCCCCCTTTTTTTTTGGTTAAATAAAGTGCTTTTTGTTTAAAAAAAAAAAAAACAAAGCTGCGTGCCGGCCGCAGTTGTGTTTGGGGGAACAAGGCTCAGCTGGTGAGACGAGGTGGGGTCCCCCGAGACTTCGGAGGGCTGTGCCCAGGAGTGCTGTCTTCCCCAGCCTGGTCCCTCCCCTCTCCGAACATGGGGAACAGGGTCCCCAGGGACAGGTGTTCCCATGGATGCGGCCGCCATGGCAGTGCTGCACCTCACGGGGCAGCCTGGGTCCAGCCCATTTCGCTAAGGTTTGAGGCCCTGAGGTGGGAGCTGGCCTGTGCCAGTGCTTGCTGGCAGGCTGCAGCCTCCCCAGGACGAGGGGACTGGACAGGAGGTGGCAGGGGGCGCTGAGGGGCCACCTGAGCTGTCTGCCCTGGGGGTGCATCCCGAGGCGAGGTCTCAGGTCAGCGGTTGGTACCCACAGGCTGATGGCACCAAGCAGGAGCCACTAACAGCTCCTGCCTCTAGGTGGGGCTGTTGCAGCCCCCAGGGCCTCAACCAGGTGTGTCAGGCACCTGCGCCTGTGGGCATGTTCGTTGGTGGCCTCTGGTCAATTTTCCTAGTGGGAAAATGCACCGGGGAAGAGGGAAGCTGTTGCTCTGAGGTCATGAGGGGCACTGGTCCCTCACCAGAGGTCTCACCTCCAGGCCCTGTGCCCCTCTTGGACAGGTTCGGGGCGAGGCGCACGGCCAAGCCCCCAGCCCCTCCCATCTCTCTACAGACTTTCGATGACGGAGCAGCACTTGGCAAAGATGTTCTCTGGTGCCTCTTCTGCCAGGATCTAGGGAAGGGGGCAGAGGTCAGGTCTGAGTCCTGGGGCAGGGACATCTCTCTCCCAGCCCGACCAGCCTGGGAACAGCCCGGGCAGGTGAGGAGAGAGGGTCAGGGCAGGTGGGGAGAGCGCGGTCGGATGTTACTAACTGCTGTGCAGAGACGCCGTGGGGCAGAGGGTGTGTGGGGAGTCACCCTCCAACTCCCCCGTCCCCTGCCCGCGGGAGCCAAGGCTGGTTCTGGGGAGGGGACGCATTGCTGTCCCTCAGTTGAGCCTGGGCTGGGGCAGGAGAAGACATCTCAGACGTTTATCTTCAAGTGGGGACAAGGACATTGCCAAAGTCCTTTTATCTTCCTAACTGGAAGGTACAGGAGCTGGGTGGGTCACCTTAAGAACGTTAAGCTATGGTTGTGTCCACCTTGAGAATACAGGTGGCCAGATTTGAGCCGCACCGCCTTTGACCCTTGGCCATGACCTTATGTTCTTTGGCTGGGTTCTGAAATGTCTTTAATTGGCAGCGTTCTGGAGCCGGTCATCGTGCTTAGACCTTAAACGTCATGACAGCCCCACAGGCCGCAGCCTGCACTGACTCCGGGAAGAAACGGCAACCCTCAGAGTACACGCGGGAACTGGCCCCCGGGCACCCCGAGCTGCTCAGGCCCAACTCGCTCCCGGGGGGCTGGGGGTGCAGCGAGCAGGGAGCACTTACGTTTCGCAGCAGGCTCTTCTGCTGGTAGAAGGTCAGGACGGGCTCGCACAAGGTGTAGTGCGTCTCCAGGCGCTGGTGGATGGCTGGCTCCGAGTCGTCCGCCCGGCGTTCCACCTGGCCCCTGCGCAGCACGCGCCGGACCATGGTCTCCATGGAGCAGTCGAACACCATGACGACGTCGGGGGCCCGGCCCACCTAGGCATCCAACCAAGGGCACCGTGAGGATGGGGCTGGACGCACTGGCCCTCGAGCCCCAGCTCCCCCAAAGACCGGCCGTCTAGGACCAACACACAGGCAGGTAAAACATCATCAGCCCTCCCTCGTGTATTTTATTTTTTTAGTTTTGAGTTTTACGTATTTATCTTTCGGAGAGGCAGCACAGGCTGTTTGCAGCCAAACCACACACACACACACACACACACACACACACACACACAGGGAGCGGGGAAGCGTCTCCTCGCTGTCCCCAGCCACCCGCCCCTGGCATCTCCCTCTGCAGCTCTGTCAGGTGTGTAGGGTACCAGCAAATGCAGTCCCGATGTTCTTTCCCACCTTTTCATACAAACGGGAAAGACACTGCCTCCCCTGTGACTTCACTCACTTAGCAGAGTTCAAGATGGTTCCACGTTGGCATGTAAGGCGTTTGCTGATCCTTTTTGTTGTTGTTGTTGAGACAGAGTCTCGCTCTCTGCCAGGCTGGCGTGCCGTGGCGTCATCACAGCTCACTGCAGCCTCCAACTCCTGGGCTCAAGCGATCCTCCTGCCTCAGCCTCCCGAGTGGCTAGGACTACAGACGCCACCACCACACCTGGCTAATTTTTCTATATTTGGTAAAGACAGGGTCTCACTCTTGCTCAGGCTGTATGTATTTCCATTTAACCCAGCAATTCCTCTCCTAAGAATCTACCTCAAGGATACTAGCAAAAAGATTAAATGAAATGCAAAGGTTATTTAGTGTGGCCTTGTCTGTAGTGGCAAAGGATTGGAAACAACTTCCTGTCCATAGGAGGTCAGCTGAATGCACAATTGTGTGGCCACATGATAGAATACTACGCAGGTGTAAAAAGGAACAAGGAAGATTTTTTGACACTGATGTGAGATCTTCAGGATCTATCGTAAAGTGAAAAAACAAGTGAAGAATCGTATACACAGAATGCAAAGGAGGAACACACACATGCACACACCTACTTTGTATTTACAAAAAGAAACAGCAGGCCGGGTGCAGTGGCTCACTCCTGTAATCCTAGCACTCTGGGAGGCCAAGGTGGGAGGATCGCTTGAGCTCTGGAGTTCAAGACCAGCCTGAGCAAGAATGAGACCCCATCTCTCCTAAAAATAGAAAAATTAGCCAGGCGTGGTGGCATGTGCCTGTAGTCCCAGCTACTTGGGAGGCTGAAGCAGGAGGATCACTGGAGCCCAGGAGTTGGAGGCTGAAGTGAGCTATGATGATGCCACTGCACTCCAGCCTGGACAACACAGCAAGACTCTGTCTCAAAAAAAAAAAGAAAAAGAAAAGAAAGAAACAGCAGAAGGACAAACCAAGAACTAATGAAAAAGGATCCCTATGGGGGTGGGAGTAGATGGCGATAGAAACAAGATCTCTCTGGATGTACCTTTCTATGCACCTTTGACTTTGGAATCATGAAATAATTCACCAGTTCAAAAATTAAAAGCAATCTCTAAACATTGAAAAACAAACTGAAACAAATGACCCAACAGTGTATCAATTTCATTACATAACTACACAGAGAAAATAATTATTTCAAGTGACCCAGTATTTGTACAGTGCATCCATAGAGGGAGAGTCCGCCCTCCATATCTGTGGGCTCCACATCCATGGATTTAACCAACCAAAGACTGAAAATATTCAGGGGAAAAACAACTGCATCTGTACTGAACAAGTACAGATTTTTTTTCCTGGTCATTATTCCCTAAACAATACAGCGTAACAAATATTTACATAGCGTTTACATTGTACTACATCTTATAAGTAACCTAGAGATTTAGTGTACAGGAGGAGCTGTGTAGGTTGTATGCAAACGCTACCACCATCTTATATCAGAGACTTGAGCATTCGTGGATTGTGGCATGCAAGGGAAGGCCTGGAGCCAATCCCACCCAGATATCGTGGGACAACTGGTTTTTTTTTTTTTTTGAGACACATCTCGCTCTGTTGCCCTGGCTGGAGTGCAGTGGCATCAGTCTAGCTCACTGCAGCCTCAAACTCCTGGGCTCAAGTGATCCTCCTGCCTCAGCCTCCCCAGTAGCTGGGACTACAGGAACATGCCACCACGCCTGGCTAATTTTTCTATTTTTAGTAGAGACGGGGTCTCGCTGTTGCTCAGGCTGGTCTCGAACTCCTGAGCTCAAGCGATCCTTCCACCTCGGCCTCCCAGAGCGCTGGGGTTACAGGCCTGAGCCAACACGCCCGGCCAGACAACTGGATTTCATATAAGGAGAACGATAGCTGCAAAGAAATTTTCAGCTTCCTTCAGTAGTTTCATTCTTTTTAAAATTTCTTTTTACATTTTAAAAATTGACACATAATAACTGTACATGTTTATGGGCTACATAGTGATGTCTCCATATATACAAAGTAGTTTTATTCTTCGTAGTTAATACTGGTATATTGGTTTGAAACTATTTTGTAGCTAATGGTATCATGCAAATGAGTACATTAATGGTATTAGGAACCGAAATGTTTAGGGAAAGAGAAAAGACCGGGAAAAACACTAAATGTTACATGTGAACTGGAAGTATCAGGATAAAACTGTGATTCCCTTTTTTTTTTTTTCCCCTCCTTTCAAGAGTATATGTTTCCAGCCGGTTGCGGTGGCTCACGCCTGTAATCCTAGCACTCTGTGAGGCCAAGGGGGGAGGATTGCTTGAGGTCAGCAGTTTGAGACCAGCCTGAGCAAGAGCGAGACCCCATCTCTACTAAAAATAGAAAAATTGGCCGGGCACGGTTGCGCATGCCTGTAGTCCCAGCTACTCGGGAGGCTGAGGCAGGAGGATTGCTTGAGCCCAGGAATTTGAGGTTGCTGTGAGCTAGGCTGACGCCACGGCACTCTACCCAGGGCGACAGATCAAGACCCTGTCTCAAAAAACAAAAACAAAAAAACAACACCCTCAAATCCTCTTTTATCCCACACTGCAGGTGGCACTTTGGGAAGCACCAACCCAGACAGAAAGACTCCTGTCCCTGGGTGTTTTGGGGACTGTACCCGATGCTCCCACATAGTCCAACTTGA